GAGAGTCGATGTATCGATTCGTTTTATTGATTTTTCCCGATCTCACTCAGATTATTAAATCTTACGTGAATCCGTATTAGCGAATTTTAATCCCGAGATACCACCAATGTTCAGTGTAAAATCGATATAACGACTCGATACATTGACTCCTCGACGTGAGTCCCCTCAAAATATTGAAGTATCGATATGCTAAACATTATTTGCAAAAGGACCCAGGAGCCCGTGGCAACATGAAAACGGCAAATATTAGATGGAATTTCGGCCCCCCCTCCTCCCTGCGGTAACTCGGAAACCGTTCCTACGCTCATCTGGAAATTTTTCTCTGAGCAGGTCATTATAAGCTTCCATTTCAAACTCCGTTCGACCGCCGAATCGACTGCCTAAAAAGCCGGTCTTTTTTGGAAAGCTCCACGGAAAATTTGAGCAATTTTCAGCTCTGATTGGTAGTTTTAGGTCGCAATGCCTAAAATCGGTGATATTACCATTAGTGTTCGATCACTTTAAACAACCATATCCAAGAAACTTAGCCATTATAACCATCTAGGAATTTTTTTTTCAATATAACGGATAATATAACGGATAATATACCTTACGGAACTTTATACCGGTAATTTCAAATGTGCCTATTTTAGCCCCGAAATACATTTAAATCGACTCTGTTTTCCAGCAGTTTGACAAAATTGCTTTCTTTTTAGCTTAAATGACTTGGTAGACATTCTACTTCTAGAATCTGAAGAGTTTCTACTTGTGACGCGTCAAAAAATTTAAACTCGTTCGGGCAAATCGTACCGGTAGAATGATACGAACAATCGACGAAATCGCACGATGTGGCCACTTTGAAGAGGGGAGGGGGCATCTTAAGTGTGGCGAGGTACATTTTGTTAATTTTCTCATACGGTACTTCAAAAAGTGCGCTATTTCAGAAAATTTCAAAGCCTCATCAACATTTTAAAGGTAGAAAAAAGACACACCTTGCGGGGAGATAATTACGAAAAATCGCACGATGTGGCCACTTTGAGGGAGAGAAAAGGACATTTTAAAATGGGCGAGGTAAATTGGGTTATTTTTTTTTGTAAAGTACTCTAAAAAAGTGTTACCCCCAAAGTCGTAGCAACATTTGAAATGCGAAGGAAAAATCCGCGAAATGACGGAAAAAAATCCGCGAAAAGGCGGAAAAACGCGTTTTAGCGCGCAACGCTCGCAACTTTTGGCTCTTACGGGTGCGTTTTCTAATGTATTTGTATTTTTCTTCGCGCTTTTTTCTCTTTAAATGGAAGGATTTTTGAGGGTTCCGCACTTTAAACTTCCAAAAACTCAAAATTAAGGGCCACCCTAATATCGACTGTAACACGTAAAATTGCTGGAAAGCGAGATTAGATGACTATGAAATGCGGCCATTGATCAACTTCCCATCCTACAAAAATATGTGGCTTCACTGTTATCATTCGGTTTTTTTCTTCCTCCGCGATGAATAATACTTATTTTTCAGTCTTCGGAAGGTTTCGCCGTTGAATGTTTTGCAATAACGAAAAGGAAAGGCGACCCGCTTTACCCTGGGCGCTACTAGGGGCCTGTGGAGGGAATGCACTGTGGAGCCGATGCACAGGTGCAATCGATCCACAGGGCGTGGGCTCCACGCACCACTTTTTTTCTGTCTCTCTCTAATTTGGTGCGTGGGCTCCACGACCTGTGGATCCGATGCACCAGTTTTGGAAGGGGGTGAGTCCGTGGAGTTCATGCACCGTGGAGGAATCACACCGTAATCCCGAAATTCAATCCCGCGTCGCGGTCAGGAGGGACATTGAGCGCTCCCTGTCGAGAGCGAGCGAGAGAACAGCGGAAATCCAATCCCGCGTCGCAACCAGATTTTCAGAGTTTAGTTTTGAGGTTAAGCTAGAAAATAAGACACAAGCTGTGACATTTTTTAGTTCCTTCTCCCCTTCAGACTCGGACCTGCAATGCCTGTTCAGTTAAGAGCCGTTCCGATGTGCTCTATCGAGTTCAGCAGATGATACGGCTCTGAAAAGACTTGCCACAGAGTGCGTTACTGCAGCAAATAGAGGAAAAGAGCTTACTTCTTTCCATGTGCGGCAGGAAGTAGACTTACCGCGTCTTTCGATGGCCACCAGGTACCTTACGCTGACCCTGCACAACAAGATGCTCATTTATTCTTGGTTTACTTGATAAACGGTCATGCTATCTTAAAGGAACATACAAAATTTACTGTATTGAATGAGAGAAAGTGCGATTTCAATGTGTGCGGGGCAACCAACAGGTCGGAGCCACAATCGGACGTCTTCAGACTCTCTCCTGTTCACAATCACACGACAATTGCTCAATTTTTGGAAATCCCATCGACTTACCGAAATATCGGGGATTATACCTGTCCCACTTGCGGCCAAAAAAGCACCGCTCAAGAACGAACTGTGGTACACAATCCGAGCCAGTTGTTCGTCATACAGTTATTGCTGTTCGAAGAGGGACTAAAAAGTACCTCTTTCAGAATGGCCGCTCTACCTCACATCACCATCGATACGATTTGCACGGAGCCGTATTTCATCACGGAGACAGAGATATGAATGCTCACAATTACTTCGGTCATTACACTTCTATCATTCGTTCCCAAGAGCAATTTATTCTGGCGAACGATGGAACGATTCAACCGTGCGAGTGGCCTGAAGGAAGCAAAGATGATTTCTGGCTAATCTACCGTAGAAAGAATTGATCAGGAAATGCAAATGTCTCCACAAGTCCCTCTAGTGAGTTCCGCCAAAGTTCCTGTACTATGAAATGCCTATTAACTTTCGCAATGAGAAAAATTGTAATCTCGTAATCGAAGTTTCAATCGTTCAATCTCGAGCAGTTCACGAAAGCAGACGATAACGTCCTTGGAAAAAAAACTCGCAGCCATAGAACATGAGCACGAACAAGCAGTTCTCAAGAAACCTAACAAAGCGCCACACTCCTGGATGACCGTAACAACATTCGAAACACCCTGCTACAGAAGAGACAAGCTCATTCAGATTTACGAAGCCTTTCCTCCCACCTGACTGGACAAATGGTCAGGTCAGGTTAGGTTAGGTTCTGAGCGGTGTGGATTGCTGAATATCAAATTGTGTACTGTATTATTATGTGTGTATCTGACTTATATAAAAAATTGTGTCTTGATGAAAATGTTGAATTGTCGCTACATGGTAGCTAAGCTAAGATTTAGCAAAATGCTAAACCTTAAACTGATGTATTGTATAATTATGCGAATCAAATGTAGATGAAATAGTAATTCTAAATTCTTTGTGTAAAATGTGTAAATTCTTCATATAAGATGCGTAAATTTAGAACCGGAAGGAGAGAGGCCCGGAGGAAATAGTGTCATAATGTCTACGACCGGCGATCGAGAGGAGGGACAACCAGGGCCCGCCCGCAGTCTCACTGTGGGAGCCTACCCTGGCCCCTCCCTCATCGCAGAGCGGTGCGAATTGCTGAATATCAAATCCAGTACTGTATCATAATGTGTGTATCGGACTTATATGAAAATAGTGTCTTGATGAAAATGTTGAAATGCCGCTTCATGATAGCTGTATTGGCAATAGTAATTGCCACTTCGATTGTACACGAGGTATGAAGAAAGAGGTAGCCGGGCTTGCGCCGCCTCTCCTGGTTGTGCTAATTGGACTAGTTATGTGACATATAAATATGTATATTGGATATTTGCATTTCCCTCCCTGTCTCTGTCTGGTGTCTGTGGTCCTATTGGGGGATCCAGTCACATGACTTGATCCACCAATGGGAGAGGCGGACACCAGAGAGAGAGGGACGGTTATGCGGAGACGCCATGTTTTTTCACTTCGGTCCTTTCATCCTAGCAGGTGCGTGCGGTTCTTTCAGGTGTGTGCACACTTTCTATGGGATGAAAAGCGCTGCTGCAACTGTCTTGTTGCATAATTAGTCCGTCATCAGTCTATGATAAATTTTAGAGAACCGAATGTAAATGCTGGGATTTTTACTTGCAACCCTTGTTAAGTCAAAGTCTGTAGGCTTCTAAACTTACTATAGTTCGACAGCTGTCAAATACATTGTATGTAAAATGTACATAATTGATCCATCATTATTCCTTGATAAATTTTGGAAAACTGAATGTAGATTCTAGGATTTTAACTTAGACCACTTGTGAGTCAAAAATTTTGGAGACTTCCAAACTCACTAAAATACGCAGCGACCGGCATAGTTGGAATTATCATGATATTCTTGAAAGTGTGACCAAAAGTTTCAAACAAAAGGAAGTAAAAATTTGAGACAGGTGGCTCGCCAAAACAAGATGAGAGTAGTGTTTTGGTTTAAAATCCATGAAATGTGCATAGATAAGATTAATGACATGGCGGAGCCTTGTTTCGGCTGTCAAAACCGTATTTCTCTATCTTCCTCTCTTGTTTTAACTCTTGGTCTCTCACTTACTAAGAAAATAGATACAAAATCCAGATCGCAGGGATCATTGGAATCTACTTTTTTTTTTTTTTTTTTTTTTTTTTTTTTTTAAAAAAAAAGCAGTTATAATGAAACGAAAAAAATTCATTGCTGATTTGGTGGTCACCAATTTTCAACTACATTTTAGGAGGATTTCAATCTTAAAACCGAGCAACGAATACACATTAAGAGGTGAACCTTGACAATGTTATTACTTTGTCATAAACGTATATATAGAGATAAGAGAAGACATAGTACAAGAGATAGTTGCGGGTGTGGAAAGTAAAAGGGAGCAAAATTAATGAAAATAATTGAAGGAAAATACATGAACTAATTGCAGGACAAATCGACTAAAGAATGAAAAATAGATTTTGATTTAATAAGCAAGGGTTTTTGAATAAAACTCTCTGAATACCCTCTCTTTCTGAAAAAAAAAAAAAAAAAAAAAAAAAAAAAAAAGATTCTGAACGCATTGAAATTCATTTAATTTTTTTTTAGGAAAATGTTCGATGCTAATATCATTTGCAACACACATTTCTTCATCTAATTTTCCAAATAACTCTAAGACATGCATTGCTGATGCCTGCAGATCGATACCTGTCAAAAAAGGGTGTCAGAGTCTGGAGGAGAAAACAAAGGAAAGGGTCAGCTATCTAAGAGAGGAAAAACTATCTCCGATACTTCATCAGATGAAAATCATGATGTTCGTATACCTAATGGTCCCAAATGGTTGCTAAAAATCTGGTAAATCCTTCAAAAACTCTGGCAAAGCTAAAGACAAGCAATCTAAATGGAAGAAGCACTCACGTCCACACAAAGCTACAGATAACTTATTCGATCAAGATGATGAGGCCAAGTACGACATCACAAAAAATGCTTTAAGGGCAATGACCCGCAAAACTATGTTAGTAACACCCCTTCAAATCGCTTAAGTTTTCAGGTGGAGAAGAGATAATTCTCAAGTGAACTATTATCATCAAAATTAGCTTAAATGGGACAATTTAAACAATGAGTTGCTCAGCCTAAGCGCTCTTACAAATGACTAAACAGGACATGCTCATTTCACAGAAATGGTGAGGCTAACACTTTACAAAGAATTTAAAATGAATGCATATAATTTGTTGAACACCTGAAATGAATATTTCAAACATTCAGAATTATAAATGTTTGAGGCAAACTGAGTGCACTTACTGAGATAAGGCAAAATCATCCAGCTACTTTCTATCTTGATTTCATTCACTTCAATCCACTTCTGAATGATACTTGTCAAAGAGATGATATTGAAGCCAACTGAAAAAAAACAAAAAAAACAGAGAAAATAAATAAACAATCAATTGTGTGAAAACTGAACCACATTTTTGTCTGGTAAAAAGTAGAAGATAAAAAAACCGTGGGATCTAACTGAAAAAAATTATGCCAAACAAACTTATAAATGTTTCTTCTTAGAGCCTCCTTTCTTTTGATAGTGCGTCCATGGAATAATTCTAAATGATGAAAAATCAAAGGATATCAGAGAGATGGGTAAAATTTTTGGAGTTCAGGGATATAAAAGTCTTAGGTTGACAAATTTCTTCGGGACTTATTGTTAGTGCACCTGCACATATGTACTTGAATCGAGGTAGAGAAATGCGAGCTGGTGTTAATTGTTTTTCCTACATAGACTGTGAGTCAAGTTTTGTTTGAAGTATGTATATTGATCTTTCAGAAAGTTTTACTCAACCTTCATATTTGAGGTATTGCTGGCTAAATTAAAAAATGGGTATCTCTGATAGCAATATTGCAAATCTCTGTTCATGCTTTAACTTCTAAAACGAAAACTAACCGATAGCTTTTCTCCAAATTTTCTATGGATCTTTTCCAACCATTTAAAAATATCCATGGAAAATATTAAGAGGATATTTCAGTTACTTTTCTTTTAGAAAAAAAAAATAAAGTATGATTGGAATATTTCGAACATGGCATTAGAGATGCACCTTTTTGATCGATGGGCAGGGCAACATGCTTCAATTAAGTGTAATACGCTCTCTATTCATCCCCGATATTATAGCCCATCTCACTCCGAGTTTATACAATGTTTTTAGGTAGATAAAGGATATGTTTAGAGTCTGCTTCAAGTTAATACATTTCTGATAAGGAAAATCCGAGCATCAAATGAAAAAGCATTCTTTTTTCATATCTACATTGGCTTTTGGTGTACAACTTACCAAACAGACTACTGGACAAGGTAAGAAATGGGCATCTAAAAAAAAAATTTGATTCCTCTCATTGATTCCACCTAAACAGCTTTTAAAATAGCTAACAAAGAGGAGGACTGACAAGACGGACCGACCACATACCTACCTTCTTTCTTAGTCTTGTCCGGTCAATAATCACAAATTTTCTGGAATCAGTCTGCAGGAGTTCTAACCCGGAATATGACTTGGGTAAGGCCTTCTCCACACTCAGAGAGCTTCCAGTAGAGTACCTTTATAGACAGAGTATGGCCATTTCTGTTCCAGTTTTTCATTGGTCGCGAGCAAATAGGCTGACACGATGCTCTTAGGGCCGTGAATAAACAAACAAGATGGCCGTTATCAGCAAGCAAGATTGAGGTTATGCACATCTTACATCCTCCTGTGATAAAGGTGAAAGGAAATTTAACAATGTTTTCATGTGTTTTTCGTGTGCTATTCGTAGATATGCTCGTTTAAATTGTTACTGCCGCATAATTGAAATTTTTGTCAAATTTACCTTCTCATCGATGTTACGGTGAGCCGCCATCTTGTTTGTTTATTTACGGCCCTAAGAGCATCATGAAGCCTAAAAACTCGTTGACCAATCAAAAAGCGGAACAGTTTTCCTGTAGTAAAAAGATACGAATGGCCATACTCTGTCTATAAAGGTACTCTAGCTTCCAGAACTTGGGCAGAATAAGTTATAGCTGAGCAATAACTTATTTCGTCTGCGCACAGAAAAGGGACACAGAACGCAGTTGAAAGTTCCGCGACTGTTGCTGTGTGGCCAAGGTCTAAGGTACACTAAACATTTGGTTCATTAAAACACTTTTTAAACACATATGTGTTTGGTGATTCAATTTTACTTACAATTATCATTGACTGAAGACTCAGAGGTTAGACGGAGGGGGTTCATTTCGACAAATAACAGACATTCTTCTTGATTTGTGGACTTGTTCTCCATTGAAAAATGATTCTTTGTTGTGCAAAATTTCATGAGTAAAGTCATAACGCATTGCATTCCTGGATATAAGCAAAATATTACTAACACACATACAAATTTGCCCCTGAACAAGAAAAGAACACTTAGAAATGTGGCACGAACTGTATGTAAGAAGGTGGTAAGATAGTGCTGGGTCCACACTATTTTGACCCAAGTATCCTAGTGACCTAAAGTGTGTGAAAATTTTGGAACCCTTATAAAAGATGGGTTTTTTTTTTTAAAAAACAGAGGCATTAAAACGTTTGTACAGAGGATACCTGTTTCAGCTAAGAGTTCATGACAAATTTATAAGGCTACATTTATTTTTCAGCCGCACCTTTGCATACTGAGGCCTATGGAGTTTATGGAGCCTTTGCGGGGCACAAATATATCTTTACTGGATGATTTAGTTAAGACTGAGAGTACAGCTTCTTGTGTACAGTTTGAAACCCTGAAAATTTATTGATTAACTGACCAAAAATAAAAGTAACTGACCTCATAATATACAGAGACCTCCGAGCTAAAAATATGTCAATTTTCAAAGATTTGTTGCTAGCAGAAACAAATCTCATGACTGAATCTGTCATCAAACTTAAGCCTGCAACAGTATTGCCGCAAAACTGTAAAAAGAAGAGAAGAAAACATTTTCTCGGTCAGAATTTGCACTAAAAAGACCAAAACAAAACCCAAGATAAAAAGCTGATTGTATCTTGGCAACAACATATTTAGCTCTTAATTTGCTACAAACTTCTTGACCACACAAAGGCGGGTTATGTTTGGTCGCAAGTACAAGAGGAGAAGGCCGTAGAAAACAGGTTTCAATCATGTGACTACTGCACTAAAGAGTCTTTCAAATGGGAGGAACAGCTCATGCCAGAATGAAATCGGTTTGATTTTCGCATAAGTATAGTGGCTATGAATAAAGATAAAAGAGAACTGCTCATGGAATAAAGGACCTGAAGGTTGAAAAAAATCAAGATGGAGGTAGTGGTGCCGTAGTTAAAGGGAGTCTTTAACAAATATTTGGGAAAAGAAACATTCAAAAGTGCTAAATCAAACTGGAGTCATAATGTTTAATGATGGAATTCAAACACTAAGTTGTGGAGGAAAATATTTTAAGTTTTGATTTGGCAAATTCTAGGCTCAAATAAATCGGATTGAGATACAATAGCTTCATGTCTTCTCTTGGCTTGAAAAAGAGCTAATTCAATTTAATTTTTTGAGATAATTTTGGTTATACCAGGGAATAATTCTCTGACCTGGCATAATAAAAATCGCCCTCATGGAAAATTTTCCTCCATACCTACCTACAGTGACAGTGTGATCCGAAAGTCCTGCATCATCCGTACAACCCCATTGGCTCTTGCTGCTTCGCAGGGAGGTCCCTTTAGCCCTCTATGGCATCAATTATTATTGGGTCTCAGGTTTTGGGAGACAAAAATCTATACAGTAACGTTTGCAAAAACAGACAGTTTTTCCCACAGATGGGGATAGGTTTGGAGCTAGAAAACTAAAAAAACATTTCTTGCAGCTTCCTAAATCTCATCTTAAAACAAGAATTTTCATGCGGCAAGTCCCAAACTACCTGAAAATAATTCATTTCAATTAAAATAATAAAACCTTCATTTCCTTGAATAATAGGGATTGATGGAAAAAAAAGTTCATTTTGTGTTACTTCAAAGAACGAAAGTAAAAAAAATGAACACTTACTCGTACACTATCAATATGAGGCTTGATGAATCCATCTTCTTGCAAGTCCAAAACATGCACAAGCTTCATAGTTGGTGAGCCAGGAGGAAATGCAAATTTTTTTATTCTTTCGATTATAACTGCATTGCTTGGATTCCAGTTTGCTTTCTCTGTCTCTCTGTAGCCATGAATTGCCTGAAAGAGAGAATGGTATTATTAGAGGGTTGGAGAAGAGGCAATACATCTCAAAGACAAAATGAACTTTCTGTCACTCTGCATTGTAAAACAGTCTAGCCTACAAACTCTTGATGAATTTTTTGGAGAAAAATGCGTTAGATAGCATCAATAGCTAAACGTTCAGTTTTTTTGTGTGTGTGAGGGTGCGTGTGTGTGTCGCACTAGGTTGTTTTAAAATTTCCAAGGAAACACCCAGAGAAATAAAATTTTAAACTCTGGATGCTGAATACAATGACTGTTATTCAACAAAATAAAAAAAGCATTCCAGATTATACTTTCAACCATGACTTGCATAACATTCAAAGGTATGACATACTAATTAAGAAATGGTGCATACAAAATTAGGGACTATGCATCCGCAAACCAAAACTAAAGTTTGCTTCACAAAATGTAGCTTGTGTTTATTTTGTGTTCTTCTCCACTTCTATGAACATCAACTATTCAGCAAACTGACGAACACAAGACAATTTTAGCATTCTCAATTGAGGTAGGAAATGATTTTGCCTGATCAAACACAAGCAATTACTTTATTTGATGATGCTAATCAGTGTTCTGCCTTCTCCAAGCACCATTAGCCAAACGCGTCTAGACATTGAGAGGCTGGATCATCAGGATTCCTGGAAAAGATGTCATACTCCATCAACTTATTCAAACTTGCAGTCACTAAGCAGCAGTGGCGCTCTCAATGCACTGCTCCCAGCCTGAAAACAGCACAGAGACAGGGCGCAAAACAGCGTAGCGTGTGCAAAGTTAATGCGGTTTCTAAAAAATGAGCTTTCCGGCCAAGGTGGCTCCCAAAATTTATGGGGGAAGGCAAAACACGGCTGCCAATGGAGCAAAATCAATACATATCATACTGTATGTACCTTCACTAGAGAGAGAGGACCCTGCACACTCCTGGGAATGAGCAACACGATCGATTTCCAATTTTATCGTCGCATTTAACTTGTCTGTGGATGCTGATCAACAGTCATTGGTGCGCCAGCTTTCTACGAGGCTCCGTTTTCACATAATCCGCCTTGGAAATTTCAGTAGTTACTAGAATAAGAGAGGCCAGCATGGCAATTTAACAAGGAAAAAGTTGGTGATAAGTGAGGAAAAGAGTAGGAGAGGGAAAGAATCTGCGAAAGGTAAAACGAAAATGCGTGTTGTATCGGAGATAAGACTGCCAGGTTTTCTTTCTTTACAGCAAGTGCTGATGGATAGGTATTGCCGTACTTTGCTGGCCTCAACTTATGTAATTAACTATTGAAACTTCTAGGGCGGATTGTGCGAAAACAGTGCTTTGTACTTAGAAAATTAGCACAACAGTGACTTTTGATCAGCATCCAAAGATAGGATAATGGGGAAAAAAAATATTTGAAATCAATCGTGGTACACATTCCCAAAAGGAGCGTGTGGGGTCCTTTGAGGCATCCTTGAGTATTTGGATATTATAGTGCAGTCAACCTTATCTAATCTGATTCATACTTGGGTTTATATTGCTTCTTTAAGTGACTACCGTAGAGAAGATAATAACTATCCAAAATGTTAAAACTTACATCATCCCAATGATCACTTTGATATCGAAGACGCTTGATGGCAGACTCAATTTCTAATAGTAGATTTTGCTCTTCATTTTCATTTACGAAGTTCTGGCAGATAATTACATCAGAACCACTGCAATGTTCATCGATCACTGACAATTCTGGAGAGTAGTCTATATACAAAGGTGTTTGATTGGTATTTTCACAATTTGATGGAGAAGTGAGGCGTTTCACCATGCCAAGATGAATGTTTGCAACATAGTTCTGAATAATCTTGTTTACATGAGAGAGAGTGGGGATGGAATTGCAACTTCTAACAGTGATTTGGCGTCCTAGACAATGACTAAAAAGCATCATATGGCTGTAAGAATAATTTAAAGTGAGGTGATATACCGGTATTTAGTGCCTGTGTGAGTTATGAAGAGAACTTGTACGTACACAATTATTCAACTACAACAACTTGAAGCTCGGCGCAAAACAAGGCCATATCTCGGTTAACTTGATGAAGGGCCCTCAATCACAGCATTCACTGCACTAGTGCACTTCTATGAAAAATTAAAAATTTACTCAGAAAGGAAAGTGGTTGAAAAGCAATGTGCCATTTGTTCATGTGCCGCAATGCCGCATAGGCATGATAATAGGTTAGAATTTTAGAAAAATTGTTACATCATAAGTCGATAGCTCGATACATCGTAAAATATCGCAAATCAAAATAATCGAATCGAGACGGGACCAGATGCGCTTGGCTTATAGGTTAGGTTTCCCGTCCCGTGAATACTTGAATCACATCAATCACATCATTCACATTAGAGTCCCTTTATACCCAGAGTTAAGACAACTCGATTATCAGCTGACTGGCAGCCGGCCTTGGCTGGCCATGGAGGCCGAAACGAGTGCACCCAAACGAACGATATTGAGGGATAAGGATCAGGAATCCTGCGATGTCTGTCACACAAAAACA